CCTGGAGCACCGGTTGCCTAATTGGAACCTTGGACTTGGTTCGGAAGGAGAGGTTGGGATGTGCTTCCCAAACGAGACCTGAGGTCTCGTTTTCAGAATTACCTACAATTGCGCTTCTTAGATGAGACGCAGTTGGCTAGAGTTGCAAAGTCGTTCAACCATGTTCCAATCTCATCTTTCAGCCCTTCCACGTTGGGAGCTTCGCCCCTGTTTTGGGGAGCCAAGATCTTGTTTCGAAGCACTGGAGCATGGATTTTCCTCATAGGGCATGGATAGACCTTGCGGCAGGTGTCTACAACACTTGCAGGTGGTTGGCGCTCCATCATGGTGTCGAAATAGAGTGAGAAAGCGGCATCTTTGGGTAGCTATCATTGTTTTCGAAAGAAACGAAAGAAGAAAGAATGGAAAATCAGTACCGATTGGTGGTGGGAGTCAGCCAATCGGCACGATTACAACAATCGCGCACGACAAGTCTAATGTGTTGGTTGGCTGCGATATAGTAACTACCTGGGGAATGCAGAATGCGAACAGTCATTTTAAAAATAAGCTCTTAATCAGCTCTTACTCCCACGACCGGCTCTTAATCAGCTCTTAAAATAGGAGCTGGTTTCAAACCAGCTCCTATTAAGAGCTGGTTAGGAGCTGATTTTGAAAACAGCTCCTAACCAGCTCCTATTTTTCAAAAACCAGCTCCTAAATTTTGAAACCAACTCCTATTTTTCAAAAACCAGCTCCTAAAACTACTAGTAAAGTACTAATGATCAGCTCCTAAAGATTTGAAATCAGCTCCTAAATTTTGAAACAAGCTCTTAAAATTTCAAAATCAGCTCCTATTTCAAAAAGCTCTAAACCAGCTCCTAAATTAAGGAGCTGATTTCAAAATGAGCTCCTAATCAGCTCCTAATTCTGCGAATCAGCTCTTAATTGCTCCAATCAGCTCCTAATCAATGGTCGCCGGAAACAAGATTCAAACAGTCATTCTGGATTCCCCTGTCGGATGGGTATGATCAATACATCGCTGGATAGTATATCTAATAATTAAGACGATCCTGCCATAAAACCAGCACCGGCCGGTCTCACATTTTGACCCGCGACGGACGGACGGTTGGAGGAATACGATGTGACCGCACTTAGATACCCTCCACCTGGAACCTCCCACCTCACTCCAGCTTCAACCGTGAATGGCATGCAAGCCTCAGACATCAGCCGACAAACACAACCAAGGATACCCTGAACCAATCCATACCACTAGCTAGCACTCGTACAATTCTCGATTGATATCACAGCACTGAATATATAGAACAATGGACTCCTCTTCTGTTGGTACTATGCATACTGGTAGCCGAGCTCTATCTGTGTCCCTGATTTTGTTGGGGCTGACGGCATGTTCCGGATTCTCCTTGGTGCCAAGAAGTTGTCCTCCATGTCATTTTCCTGGAACCTCCTCCTCCCTTTGGTCGTCTGATAATAATAATTATGGAGAAGATATGGATCAACAAGCCATGATGGAATCAGATATGCTGGTGACGGTGGACGAAAACGATCTTTTGGTGTCTACCGAAATTTCAGCCTCCAAGAAATTGGCACATACGTTTACGACGGATCAACCACGAGGGATTTTGCATCGCGCCTTTTCCTTCTTTCTCTTTGATCAGGACAACAAAATGCTGCTCACGCAACGAGCACTGTCCAAAATTACCTTTCCCGGTGTGTGGACCAATACCTGTTGTTCCCACCCGCTCTATGGCATGACGCCCAATGAAGTCGATGTGACACCCGATGCTTATCCCGACTTTCCCGGTATCAAACACGCCGCCATTCGAAAGTTAAAGCACGAATTGGGAATTGAAGCACAATACGTACCACACGACAAAATCACGTTCCTTTCCAGATTCCATTACTGGGCATCCGATACTGTTACCTATGGAACCGAAAATCCACCATGGGGAGAACATGGTACGTACCTGTACATGAAACAATTAATAGATAATTGCTACCGCATTGCAGTGGATGCTTACAATGGCATCCAGTTCTGACTGACTGTGTTATTTCCTTTGTTGTTATCCTTTTGCACTGTCCATACTCTCTATTTGTCATGCATACATCAGAGGTCGACTACATTTATTTTTCCAACTCCCCCAGGGGTCGATAATTTCCCGTCAATCCATGTGACGATGAGGTACAAGAGTACAAGTACGTTTCCATTGATGAACTCAAGGAAATGATGAAGGATCCAGACCTAAAATGGTCGCCCTGGTTCTTGGGGATTATGGAACGGGGAGGTTTCGATTGGTGGGCCGATATGCAAGCTAGTTTGGACGGAAAGAATACCAATCCTGATGTTGTGTTCTTCGATCCTCCCAAAGAGCACGTAGCATCCTACAATCTACCAGAGCATACACGGCAAACTGGAGTACTGTCGGAACAAGGTGTCCTTCAAACACAGTAGCTAGCAATACTGGTAGCTATGGGTAGTATCCAAATTGTAAGGTTTTAGACACCCGATTTTCCCCCAGAATACGGCTGTCTATGAAACGACTCACTCTGCCATTAATAGCTAGTTTTGACCAGGACATCTGAAGTTGACAAAGTTACTACGGGTACATAATACTACCTAACTAATAACTCTCGGGACATCCATTGGCTCTAGCCCAGTGCAGAACTTCTGGATGTCCGTTTTCCTTGGCCATTTGGCAGGTTTCTTCATCCCAAGGACAGTTGCGTGCATGGGCCCATTTTAGAATCTCCAAATGTCCACCTTCTGCTGCGCCTGCACAGGTGTCGGCATCCCAGGGACAGCCATGTTGGTGGGCCCATTGCAATATTTGAAAATGTCCACTTCTGGCCGCAAAGGCACATGTCCTGGCATCCCAAGGACAACCATGGGCATGAGCCCATTTCAGAATTTCAAAATGCCCGCCATTGGCCGCCCAAATGCAGGTGGACTCATTCCATGGACAACCATTTCGTCGGGCCCACTTTAAAATGGCAAAGTGGCCACCCTTGGCCGCCAAATTGCAGGTTCTGGCATCCCAAGGACAGCCATTGGCATGGGCCCATTTCAGTACATCCAAATGGCCTCCATAGGCAGCATATCCACACGTTTCTTGATCCCAGGCAAAACCATTGGCACGAGCCCATTTCAGTATGTCCACATGGCCACCCTTGGGGCTGCCAAAATGCAGGTAAATTCATCCGTTCTCATGGGCCCATTGGAGGACATCCAAATGGCCATATTCGGCTGCCAGATTGCAGGTTCGTGCATCCCAAGGACAACCCTGTTCCCGCACCCATTGCAACACATTCAATCGTCCACCCTTGCCGGCCATGGCACACGTTCTGGCATCCCAGGGGCAGTTTTTCTCAATGTGTGCCCATTGGAGTACATCCAAATGTCCTCCATAGGCAGCATAGGCACATGTCTCCTCATCCCACGGAGCACCGTGTTCATGGGCATACTTCAGCACATCCAAGTGCCCACCCTTGGCAGCCCAAATGCAGGTATTATCATCCCAGGGACATCCGTTTTCATGTGCATATTGGAGCACATTTAAATGTCCATTCATGGCAGCATGACCGCAGGTACTGTCGTCCCAGGGACAGTCGTTGTCCCGTGCCCATTGGAGAAGCTCCAAGTGACCACCGTAGGCAGCAGACGCACACGTCCGACTCCACGGGAATCTTTCTCGACGGGCCCACTGCAAGACAGCGGTATTCCCCAGTTTGGCAATCTTGTCACAAACATGCAAGAAATGTGGCTCTTTCTCGTCGTCGTCGTCGTCACTGTCCCAATATTGGGCACATGCTTCATTGAAGAATGCGGCACTAAAGAATGTATCGGTGGCTTGTGCGGGTCGAATGTCTTCTTCATCATCATCGGCTTGTACTTTATAATAGACGGATGGAGGGCGCTTGATCGTGTCGCAATAGTTTCGATACAGCCGATGGAATTGTTTATTGACGGGGCCAATAAAGGCAAAGTGGCCCATTCCCAGAAATGGAAGAATCCCATGAATCCAAAGATCCTCCTTGTCCAACAAGAGTGAAGCAATACGAGCTTCTTTTGGCTCGGCTCCCTCTGGTTTCTTCTTCATCATGGTTTCATCCTTTCCGCCTTGATGTTGTGGTATTATTCTTGTGCTCTCCTCTCCAACCAAAGCAAAACCTCAGCGAAGCTATCAGCGGGATTGCTTGATGGATGTTCTGTTTTGATCATCTCCGAGCTCCGAGTGTCGAGGTCGTGCAAGTCTCGGTCGGTGTTAGGATCCAAGGGACTGATCTGGATCGTGACTCAAAAAGATACCCACTGACTCAGCCCCAAAATCCAAAAGTGCGACCATGACACCCTCCGACAAAACAATAAACAATCGCACCCAGCTATTAGCCAGGATACCAATGCACCAGACCCAAACCAAATCGTTACATTCGTTGGAGTGAGTTATTCAAGACTACTAGTACCATGAGATCAAGCACGTTTGCTTTGACGGGTCTTCTGCTTCTGGGTAGCAGCACCCCTGATAGTGCCACTGCATTTCAGCTCTCTCCCAAGACCAGCAATCATAAGAACAGCAATAAGCCAGGATCATCACCTCTTGAACTACATGTACAGCCACTGGGATCCACGGCATCAGAAGACGACAATCACCTTTTATCATTCAACCAACATGAGGACAAGTCAGAAAGGGTAGCAGACCCAGCTCCATCCAGTCCTTGGACGACTCGACTAGTCTCTTGGGGAGCATCCCTGAGTCTCGCGACGCTCTTATCGTTATCGTCATTGCCATCTTCGGCAATGGCATCGGGCTATGGATCACTGAGTCCCGAACAAAAAGGCGTCGCCGAAGCCTGGCGTTTGGTGGACAATAGTTACTTGGATCGCACCTTTCAAGGACAAGATTGGTTTGCCGTACGGCAAAAACTGGTCGCCACCAAATACAAGAATATGGACGACGCCCGAGCGGCCATTGATTCCTTTGTCTCCAATTTGGGAGACAAGTACACACGCTACCTGTCACCCGCCAAATACCAATCTTTGGTCGATTCTGCCACGGGAACACTTGCCGGGGTCGGTATTGAATTGAGTCGCAACAAGGAAGGACGCGTCATTGCATCCGATGTCGAACCCAACAGTCCAGCCGCCAAGGCAGGGATTCTACCCAATATGGTATTTGAGGCGGTCGATGGAGTGCCATTCGAATCCAACAAGGACGTGACACCCGATGATGTGGCATCCTTGCTGCGAGGCCCACCGGGAACCAAAGTCGATATTGTCATGTCCACCGACAGTAGTAGTTCCAAATTGGACAAGATTGTCACACGAGAACCCATTCAAATTACATCGGTCCGCAGTTATGTCTCCAATCTACAAGGGGTTGGAAAGGTCGGCGTCATTCGCATCAAATCCTTTTCGTCACAGACGGAACAACTCGTCAAGGACAAGTACAATGAACTCGTTTCCAAAAAAGGAGCCGTCGCCATTGTATTTGATGTACGCGGCAATCCCGGTGGACTCTTGCCGGGAGGAGTCGATACCGCTTCTCTCTTTTTGCCCAGTAATCAACCCGTCGTTTTTGTCGTCAACAAGAGTGGGGTCGCCGACAAACAAGTGACGTACAAGGATGGGATTGACACGGACACAACACCCTTGGTGGTACTGGTGGATGGAAATACCGCATCGGCCGCTGAAGTATTTACCGCCGCCTTGAAAGAAAACAATCATCGCGCTACCATTGTGGGAGAACAAACCTTTGGAAAGGGCATCATTCAAACCATTCGGCCTTTGGAGGTGGCGGGAGGTGGGGTTGCCATTACCGTGGCACGCTACGAAACACCCCAACACAATGATATCAATAAACAAGGTGTACCGGTCGATATCAAAATGACCGTGGAATGTCCCAAGGATGATGCTCTTTCGTGTCTTTCCGCCAAGGCATTTCCAAAAAAGTAATGGATCATGGAGCGAATGTCATCACGCACGAAGACATTGAATGTACCGGTATGGCTAAAGCTAGCTAGCTAGTCAATGCGAACAAAAGATTGCTACTTTTTATGAATTTGATTCTAACTTTAAGCTCTCTAGCTAGTAGAGAAGAAGCACCGACCGGTTCAAAGGCTTCTTGGTCAATCTGTTTGAAACGCATTGCTTTTTTACGTTTGTGTCTGCTTTGGTTGTTTTTGTTCTTCAAACAATGTCTGATACTCGAGCAGCATGCGATAGGTATAGCACTTGCTATCGTCACGTCGTAGTCGGGTCTCGACACGCTTTCGACTCGCCGTGACGATCTGTTGCACAACGTCAGGGTGATCATGTGCCCAAGCCACCTTTTCGACCAAATCACTGAGATCGTAATTGACCGGAATGTAGTGCTGGAAGGGTTCCATGACTCCATGGTACCATTCTCGGTAATGACTCGATTTGAAAATGAGAGATCCCGATCGAAGCAGACCCGGAAAGCGGCCAGTGAAACCTGTGGAAGGAAGGGTAGAAGTATGTTGTGAGCGATGATGATGACAATTGTATATCCACGAAGGAAGGACAGAAGATCATGAGACCAACCCAACACAGGGCCATTCCAATCTCTTACCATTCCCATCGACATCTAAAATGTACTTGTTTTGTTGGAGTTCCCTGTACCACATCTTGTTGGCAAACCGATATCCATCCTGCATCAATGAACCTTCTTCTCCGTCTGGAGTTTGTATTTGACTGGCAAAGGCAAAGTCTACCGATACACCATTGTCCGTGAGAGGATGAACCCGTGTGCCACCGTATTGTCGCATCATTTGAAAGCGAGGACCTGTGCCCCACTCTCCCGTGGTACTCCCTCTCCAATTAATGACATTGTCGCGATCGGCAAAGTTGAGACCGTGACTGTACATGGGCCAGAACCAAAAGTCATGTCGATGAAAGACCAGACTGGAACGTGCTGGGATGAGCAAATCACGGCTGGCTAGGAATGGATGTTCGTTAGGATGGGGGCCCTCATTGTAGGTTGCATTGAACAAGTGAGATTTGCCAGCAGTGGTCTGATTGTTGTGGTTGGGTATTTTCTTGTCATTGGTGTAGTAGTCCTGCTTGCAAAAGGACAAGACAGGATAGGTAGCATTGACACTGGCATCTCGTGCCTTGTCATGCATGTTGACAATGAATTGGAGCGTGAGTGGAGGCGTGTGCTGTCGAAGGGGTTCCAACAATCCCCTCATGAGATGCTCCGTGTACTTCCATTGAATGGGCTTCCAGTCAAACCCCCATCCCTTGCCATGATATTCCACTATAGTCAATTTGTGATGTTCCAATGAAAATGCCATGAAGAAATCGGTAATCTGTTTGCCTTTTTCAATGACTTGGTCCATATCCAGTTTGTGTCCTTGATCCAGATTCTGTTGTCGAAAGAATTCGAGATCCACATTCAGTGCTTGATAATTCACACCACGGGTATCGCATTCATGACGTTGCGCGTACTCGAACCAACGGCTCATGCCCTCGGGAGGAGACCGTCGAAACGTTTGTCGGTAATCCTTGACAAACTCGTACCATTCTTCCTGTAATGCTTCCTGCTGGATCCAAGTAGTAAACGATGGTGCTGTTTGCAGAAAAATGAAAAAGTTGGCCACCACTATACACAGAAAGGAAACCTTGAGAATCGAAAAGTACGGCTTGCCATTGCAAAAGAACATCTTCATTTTGATAATACACTTGGATGTGTGGATGTCTTGGTGGGTACCGGTAGGTGGATTGATGGATGGATGGATAGATTTGGGTATCCTACCCTTTTGCACTAACTTAACCGACGCTCCTACTTCCGGTACTTAGTAACAAGGTACTACGTATCCTCTCCAAGCATATCTTCCCATCACCTTCACTGGCACATTGTCGCCACCGGCTTTGTAATAGCATTGGGACTGCCGCATAAAAGGCATGGAGGGGCCGTGGCAAACCCGTGTCGTCCATTATCAGCATGCAACCTCGACCATGGCCAAAATTGGCGGCAACTACCAATGACAGCCAGCAGAGTTGTGACTAGACTTTCTGCAATCGGATTCGCCTTGGGTCCAAGGTGATCCGAAGGTGAAGAGAGTGTAGCAGACCCATGCTAGAGTCAGAGTCCAACAATTAATTTATGGAGCTTCCAGATCTCGAGCACTGGCATGTTGTATGTATGTGTGGGGTAAAGCGGCTCGGTGTCCAGCCATTCCTCACGTACGTTGCCTCGATACCGATAAGGAAAATGAACCGCACTACCACGTTGCAAAGCCGTCGCTTTATCCTTTCATTTG